CCTCCCTCTAGATTTTTTTGTACATAGCGGATAGTATTATGGGCAGAGTATTATATATTTGGACCAATCTCATTTTTTTATTTCTATTTTTATCAATTATGTATGTATAGGTCATTGAGTATAAAATTGGCATTCTATGTAATGACAATTTTTGGCCCTCCAAAATCAAAGAATATCTAACCCCCACCTCCGGTTTTAATGAACTTTATAAATAACTATTTTAAATAAAGCATCCACATTCCTTCGAAATATTACGATTAGTCATTTATGAGTGAGATATTCTTTGATATATTTTTGTTAATGTTTTAAACTTGTTTTGGTCCGGCGTGATTCTCAAATTCTTTGTTTCTTATGTATCAAAATCTATGACATTTTTTTCTTATTTTAATTATTACTTTTGGCATAATGAATTTAAAGTTTTTAATACTCACGAAGAAGTTCGGGGAGAATAGCGATTATTTTGCAGGTTGAGATTCAGCAGATAATTAATAGGGAATAACGCGAGAGAAAACGCCAAAAAAAAAAGAAAAAAGAAAAACTCTTTATTATTCATTCAACATGTAAAAATAACCCACAAGTCGAGTTATATAACTGAAAAATCATAATTATCGAAATTTTACCAAAAATAGCAAAATTTCAATATTCATTCCAAAAGAAAATACATAATAAAAGAAACAATATCCCAAAAATCTGGCTTAATTCGAGTTCGTAATTTATGTTTAAAAGGGAAACAAAATATTACCAAAAAAGGAAAAAAAAAATAACTAAAATTAGGGATTCGGAAAGGAAAACAGTAGATTTTGCTCTTGAAATCGATGCGCGTTGAGTGAAGCTGGGTAACCACAACGTGCGCGCCGAAAAGTGCTTTCTGAATTAGGGTTGTGAGAGCGATTCTGATAACCGTGGCTAAAGTTATGGCCAAAATACTAAAATGTGTCCAAAAAGGGCCCCCATTAAGAAAGATCGTCGATTTCTTGCCATTTTTACGCTGATCCGCCAACTCATGGCATCTCAACGTCATCAACAAGTTATCAGACAACTCGACTTCGTCTAAATCGGATGCTCCTACATCATGTTGTAACGTAAAAATTACTCAATTTTTAAAGAAAATGACTTAAAAAACATGCTCCCCTGCACAATTAAAAGTATTTGTTAGGTCTAAAGTGTTGGTAAATTTCATTTCCAAAATATCATTTAATCAATTGTGCTTAGGGTCGAGATGTCGGGTGTTGAGTGTTGAGAGTATCGTTGGAATGACTCAACATCACCTAAAAAAGATCATGAAATTTATAAGAAGATCACATATGATCAATGGGATGCAATGAAAAATC